TTCAATGTTTGAAAAATTAAGATATATCAGATTTCTGGATCATATGAAACAACATTTACATTATTGCTTTATAAGTTTTGCCTATTTATCAATTTTGTTGAAGAAATACTTATTCTTGTCATCTGAAAAACGATCCAACAAAACATCCACTAACAGTAATCCAGTTGCTTAACCTCAAGCTGCCCATTTCTACATTCATTCCACATTTTACTCTCTAATATAATTACCCCCTTTGGAATAGACAGTGATTAAATAAACTGGCCCTTATGTATCATTACTTTATTAGTTTTTCCATGATTGATTAAAAAAAAAATCAGTTACTGAACATTCTTATGAATATTAAGAATATTAATTAATATTAATAAAAGGCCTTTGCATGTCCTTTATGCTCTTTAGGATAGTTGCTATAGAACAAAAAAGTATTTCTCCTTTCTTCTTCTGCGCTACAGCTAAGTAAATTTTCATTGATAATTATTAAGCTTTATGAATTTTTAGAAAAAAAATAGTTTAATCTGTATGAACATCTTCATGTGTATCTATTTAGACCAAGAACCATTTATTATCATTTGTGTTGCCACACTGGCTGGGGCTAAAGGAATTTTTGACATTTTAGCTCTATATGAACCAGACTTACAATTACAAAAAATGAGACTTGGCTGCTCCGATGCAAAGAGGTATGAGATGGGGTTTATAATGCCAATTTGGTTCCCTAGGATTTATTTCCTACGTTGAGATTCACAACAGCCACCATGCTAAATTCTCAGATTCTTAATTAAGACAGAAAGGAGGAATAAGATATGTGAAATTCTGGCTACAGCAGTAAACACAGCTTAAGTCTTTCTCAATCTCCAAAAAGTGTCTTAACCTGTGTCCACACACAAAAGCCCTTCTACCATTTCTGGAGCTTGAGCTTCTAATGCATGAGCAGTGGCCTTCAGGATTTATGGTCAAACTTTCAGTGCCTTGGTTCTAAGCATTACCCAGCTCAGGTGCTTCAGCCCACAGATTCAGCTTCTCTTGGCTAAACATCTACCACTGCAGGATGCTATAGCCACCTGGGCTAACATCAGCCCTAAAGTAAGGGGAAGGCCTTTGCTCTCCTAGGCCCTGGAGGATTCCGTGGCAAACTGGAAAATTTCTGTTTATGTGTGTGTGTATATATATATATATATATATAAGTACATACATCATAAATACATATATGTTTATGCAGTTGGCTTATTTCTTTACAAAAAGAATACAAAAAGTGAGTGGTTTAAGCTCATATAAGTTATTTCTGAGGAAAAAAAATGTTACGCAACAGGTTGGGATGTTAAACTAATCTCTGCAAGATTTGTGGCTTATTTCCATGTTTTCTTTTACCTCTTATTGCTGGGACATGAAACCTTCAGTCTGCAATCACAGAAACTACATCACCATCAGTGTAAAATCAGTATGGTAGGTCGGGAACAGTGTTCCCAATATAAAATAAAGGGATTTTTTCTTTTATTTTTTTCCTTTCCCCTTTGGTGTCTTTTTTAACCACTCTATAAAAGGTTCTTTATCATATGCATATTTTTTAACTTTAGGACATGTACATGACATCTTTTGCCTATTATAAAGGTTTGACCACCTTTTCTTCAGTAAGGAACACATTTTAAAGAAAATGACAACATGTACTGCATATGAATTTTTTTAGAGTCCAGTTACTTCTCTCAACTGTTTCTTAGTAGATGAAGCAATACATTATTAGTTTGCTTGCCCTGAAGCATGATGCTAATTACTGCCTATCATTCTACCCATGCTTATTCTTGATGTACAAGCAGCACCTTCAGCTAACTGCATAAAGGCATCAGAGTAATCCAGATATCACAGCAGCTTAATAGATCTAGTTGTAGCATGGTTCTTAATGGACTCTGTGTTCATGCAGACGTCTATTATATTTAAGGAGCTCTGTCATGAATGAAAATTAGCTGAACAGTCATTAACTGAGACAAGAACAAAGGTTACCTTGTGCCTTTGGAAGGTAATGTGTGCACTTACTGTAGAAAGGCTGTGAAAATCAGATGGAAAACTAAATTAAAACTTATCTCGTGGTATATTAGGGAGAAAGCATAGTTAGAACCAGGCAATGGTCACTAGGATGTTTACATTCTACTTCTCCTGCTTGTTTGTTGTATGACAAGCTCTTCAGACTATTACCTGCAAAAATCAACGTAAGACAAGACATCTGATGTCAAATGGGAGTCGCAAGAATGAGCATTTCAATTAATCGTCCTATAAAAGTTGGTATGGCAGCTCACTGCAGTATTATTAAACTACCAAGCAGGTATAAAATAATGCTATTTAACAAGCTGAGGAGATGAGGACTGAGCAGTAAAGGAAAAAAATCCAGAATAGTTGATTTCAAGACTATGCAAGTCTTGGTTCATTAACTGAGTAAAATTTTTCACAACAGTCTAGTAGATTAGAACAAGCCACTTCAACCAGCCAAGCTGCTTGAACAGACAGTTACTACTATTGGTACCCTCAGAATTAGAAAAATTTCTGGTGCCTATATCTCAACTTTTTACTCAAGGATTGGATGTACTTGGACATACAAATCAGTCTGTTGACATGGCAGACATCTACAGCCATGACCATGTCTCACCCAACACACCAAAGGAGAACACCTCCTTCATAGTCTCTCTCTCCCTACATATAAATTTTTACTCTTATTTATGCATTGAGACTGGAATACGACATTTAATTCTGTGCACACCATGATTGGGAATACGTGTCTCTGTCACTCTGGATATAAGGTTTCATGTTCCTGAGGAAAGCCAAGGGATAAGACAACTCCCTCCAATACTGCTAGGATAAGACTGACTGAACTGTGGTGGATCCAACCAGACTCCCTTGCCAGGAGGACCTCACATGATGAGGATACTGCTCTCCTGGCTCCTATTACTGGTTTCCCTCAGCAACAAAACTGCCCTACAGCTGGAGGACACTATAAATTAAGATCTACCAAAAAACATTTCTGGCTCTGAAGCCACAGAACAGTAGCTCTTCCTAAATAAATTTTAAAGGAAAAGAAGATGAATGACTTACATGTGACTGCAACATTAAGCATCTCAAGGCTGTGATTTCTCAGAAATAAAAAAAAGTACTAGAACAAAGCATTGCTTTACTAGGTAAAAAACCTTTTCTTATGCCAAGATATCGATTGTCTTGTTTTTGCAATGATGGATGAAATTACTGATCATTGTCCAAAACCAGGCAGATAATCTCTAACAACACAATAAACACAGAACATTAGATACGGGTATGTACTGGTAGCACTTGTGATATCAGAAAGCCCTTTCCAACTGATTTAGAATGGAGACTCCATATTTTGCCTTCAGGAATGGCTACAGCTACAGCTGTGACCAGTTGCTTCCTTGCTCTGTGAGATGTGACATTGTAGGAAATGAAAAAATTTTCTTACTTTTTGACCAATTTTAGTCAAGCTGCCCCCTACACACAGAGATTATTCAAAGAATCTATTTAGCATATAACTTCTCTTTCCCAGAGGCTGTGCAAGTGTTAGAACAGAGAAAAAAGCTTTGACAGGTACAGGATGCAACTAAGAAATGCTATGAGCTGGTGCAACACAATTAATGCCCTGTAAGATTGCCATTGGAAACTGTGACATCCACTCCCCTACAGATTAGCAGTATTTCAGGTGTTGAGACTTTACAAGATAAGTTCTGGGCTTTTCAGAACAAGTGTTTTTGTGTTTCACTTTGTTTGGCATTTTCCAGGTGTGAAAGCAGCAATCCTACTACAGAGTCATAGAAATAGCTTGGAGTAGATTTGTTCTTTGACTGTTTTGGTCAGGTCTATGTTATGTTTTCTCTGCTTTATCTCTGTGGTCTGTACCATGTTCCTCCCTGAAAGTACAGTACAGCAACAGGAAGACCAGGAGAACAGTTACACACAAGCAGAAGCTGTGATATATATAACAAACAACAGAAAAAACCTACGTATGAAAACAAAATTTAAAAAAAAAAAAAATCTATGAAAAGATTGTTTTAATGACAGCTATTAAATAATATACCAAGGAAGAAATCCCCACTCTTGGGTAAATTATTTCAAATGAGCAAATACCACCCACTAAAATAAACTGCTGATCAGGATGGAAATGTAAGGTTTCTAAGCTTCTTTTAACTAAGTAGGTGTTCCCTTAGGTACAGAAAGCATCTGAGATTTTCATCTGAGATCAAACGTAAGAAAAGAGAGTGAGACCAAAATGCCCATGATGCTGACTAATTCAACATGATTTTGTACAACGTTCAAACTTGCAACTGATTTATTGTTTTCTTCTGGGAAAAGAATGTCAAATGAGGCAGGCACTAAACAGTCACATTTTTGCTCTTTAAGCTTGCTTGTCTATTAGCATTCCTTCCTGCAGGATAACTGAAATCAAATGCAGTATGTTTCACACTTGTAGCTATGAGACTTCTGATTTTGACAGCTAGAAACATCCTTATACACTTACTCTGCAGTGTTGTTATTTTTTTCCCTTCTACAAGACAGTGTTTTCTAGAAGTTCTTCTTATTTTTCTCTTTGCACCTTTTACTCAAGGCTACTAGTGTGCAAAGTGAACTGTCTAACTCTTTAAATAATTTAACATGGCCATCTGCTGCCACAGCTCAAGAAACTCCAGCATTTTCGACGGTAGCTACTGACTACGCAAAGTGCAAACCAGGCCAAGAGGCACACAGAACCTCAAACCTGCAGTAGGTATTCTGACCAAGGCAGGGAGCTCTTCTGAAGTGCCGCCGCAGGCATGCCAACATTTTCCCAAAAACGCAAACAACTTTTCCTAGCAGCTGCGACGTGCTCGGTTATTTTGCGGCGATCGCTGTGGCTCGGTAGCGCATCCCCGCGCAGCCGGGCTCCCGGCCGATGGCAGGGCGGGCCCCGGGGCTCCGGCAGCCCCAGCACGGACGGGGCGGCGTGCGGGCTCCACCGCCCCGGCCCAAGAGTCACTCACCATGTTGACCTCTGAGACCACGTCGATGCTGGCGATCTCTATCCGCATGCCCACATCCACGGGCGGACCTGAGGGGGGAGCGGGAGGCGGCGTTAGCGGACTTGGGGGAGCCGGGGCACGGGTTGGGGGGGCGCGGGCGCTCACCTCCGAAGTCGGGGCGGAGGCGGATGTCATAGCCTTGGAGCAGCCTGTCCACAGTCTCCTTCACGTAGGACATGTTGCTGGGCCCATCGGCGCTGCGGGAAGAAGCACAAGCCGGTTAGAGAGGCGGCCGGGCGGCCCCGCGCCCTCCTGCCTCCCTCCGTCCGCACCCCGGCGGCGCTCACCTGCGCGCCGCGCACGCCACGGCCAGCGCCAGCGGCAGCAGCAGCGCCCGCGGGCCGGCCCGCCTCGCAGCCTCCCCCATCCCGGCCGCCGCCTCACGGGGGACGAGCCGCGGACTGGAAGTTGGTGCGGAGCGGCGAGGAGAAACAATTCCCGCGAGCGGAACGCATGCGCGGAGCGGAGCGCTGCGGCCCCGGGGCGCCCCTCTGCCCGCCCGGGCACGGCCGCGCCGAGGGCTGGTGAGGGCACGGAGGGCTGAGGGCATGAGGGGCTGAGGGTGCGGAGAGGGCTGAGGGTGCGGAGAGGGCTGCGGGTGCGGCGAGGGCTGAGGGCGCGGAGAGGGCTGAGGGCGCGGAGAGGGCTGAGGGCGCGGAGGGCAGAGGGCACGGGGGGCTGAGGGCACGGTGGGCTGAGGGCACGGTGGGCTGAGGGCGAGAAGGGATGAGGGCGCCGGGGTACTGAGGGCGTGGAGGGCTGAGGGCGCCGGGGTGCGGAGGGAGCGGCGCCGCAACAGGTGCCGCGGGAGCGCTGAGCGCGGCGGGGCCCCGCGGCCGGCGGGGCACAGCGGCACCGAGAGCCCCGATCTGCCGTGGGGAAGGGGCTGCCACCGCCGGGCACGGCCCTGCCGCCGGAGCGCCGGTTTCCCGTCAAGAGACTGTGAATAGCCATTGAAGGCGCTTCGGCGAGAAAATTCCCCTCGCTGTTATGTTAGCCATGAAGTGAAAGGGGAATGGCAAATTCGGTACAAAAGGCATGTTTTGGTGCAAGTAGCGTTTTGCCCGGCGCCGGGAGGCTTGAGGACGCGCCCTCCCCGCGGAGCGCTCGACGCTCCCTTTTAACAAATGTAATTGATCTTGCGTTTAGAACACGATTTTTGTCCTTTTTTTTTTTTTTTTTTTTTTTTTTAAAAAAAAAAAAAAGACTCTCGGGATGGATGCTGTAATGTAACCTGTTCTCTCTTGCGCTTCATTACGCAGAGACTGTTCCTGTGAGCCCTGAGAACAGTTTATGGCTTTGCCGGTGCCGCTCGCTTTTGCTACACCGTAGCGCAACAGAAATAACATTTATCCCTTTCAGGTTCAACCCATCTCCTCTGTGTGCTTCACAGTCCGGTGTGCGGTGCCCTTGGAATAAGTATTGGATGCTTTTGAGTCTGCTTCAGCGTCATGCAGACTTGTTTCTGAGAAATGGCAGACTTGGTGATGTTTTTTGTAGCTGAAATATGCCACTATATTTGAAAAATGCTGCAATATTGATATAGTTTGTGACATATCCTGGTGATAGTTTTGAGGATCTTTTGGGACAAATTTTTGAGCAATGCATTTTTCTATGAAAATTTGTCACTCTTGGAGAAGGAGCACAACATGCTTCCTAAGAGATTACTATGGGAGTCTTTCATCTCACATCTGCTTTCTCCAACCACAAGTGTACAAGTTTATGAAAGTAATTCTTTTATCAGTTCTTTGTAACAGTATATAATAAATATTTTTTATTTTCTTTGAGATGTTTTATTTTTTTTTCTTTTCCTCCTAGTTCAGTAATTAGCTGCTGAAAAACGTGCCCTCCCAGTTTAACTTGAGAGTACTTTAGGATTGCTTTTTGGAAAGAGTTTTCTTCAATTATAATTGCTGTGGCTTGAGTGGAACACTTTAAGAAGAAAAAGAAAGAAATCCTGCCTATAGCTGTCTACCAAAGAATATCTTTTTAATTAGAGTTATACCACACACAGCCATCATAAAATTACCTAAAATTCTTCTGAAGCACTGAATTACGATTTACCATGCATCTGTATAGTCCCTTTTACTTCTTGATGGTATGCAGCATTACATTTAGCTTTGTTGTAAACCACATGAAAGTCAGATATGGCTTTATTTAAGGGAAACCACTGCTCTCCATGGCTTGCCAAAATCTGTCCTAAGGCATAAGTGCAAGGATTTGTTCTACTAGAATTCTTAATCTGCTGCACATTTCAGGGCAGCTTTAGTTCAGATGACCTGTAGTCTGGCCCCTGGACTGAATGCCCATTTATAGTTGAACTGTTTCAGGTGAATTTCTGATCTTATCATCTGGTCTGAGAAGGCATGAGCAAAGCCTCTCCTGCAGGTCTCCTGCAATCAGGAGGATGTCTCAGCCCAGCAAATATACTTCCAGGAGGGAATAGGATGTTCTTACTGGCAAGCTGGTTCCTCTGAGAACTCTCCCAACTAAGCTGTCCGGGCTTCTGGAGACCAGCCTTGAGCTTCCTCCACTGAACATCCCAAAAATAAAACCCAAACTGTTGAAATTCAACTCCATTTTGTACAGCTTGATTACTGGGGACATCTGTGGCCGTTAGGACACAGAGGGAGAGAGAGAGACTTACACTCTTGACTTTGATGATTTATGTAGTAAAAGGATTACTTTATTTACATTACATGTCTATTTACAGAATTTCAACAACGACTATGGATTGGACAGCGAGGGTAAGACCTCCTGACTCCATAGATTCCATTAACTGTTTATTAATCCCTTCTTCTAAAGAGGAATGTAAAACAATCATTATTTATAAGAAAGAGTGTGAGAAACTGTACAAAGAATTTATCAACAATCAGAAGGCTAGAACAGAAGGCAACAGACATCTAGGCTCTAAACTTGGGTTTTGAAACAACTGCAATGGGGGCTTTGAAACAAAGAGATGTATATGGTATTTTAATAATCATACAAAGGAGGAGCTGCATGGCATTACACAGCCAGAGCAGAGGGGATGAGAAGGATTTCTCTTGCCATATGGGGAGGATGATGGAAACATGTCTAAGATGTGTTTTCCATTGCTTTCAGGACTGAAAAAGGTAAATTATTATCAGTAGGACTTCCTTTCTCACACATGTTGCCAGCTGAAGTAGTCAGTGAAGTAAGAATTTAAAGTTCTGCTCTCTTTGCAGATATCTGTTTCTAGGAGAATATATATGCTTTTCCAGGCCACCAGTGTGGAAGAATTTTGACATAATTTTGATAAAAGCATTCCATGTGACATAGTTCTTGCTTCAGGATCTATTTAACAACCTCTTGTACAAAGAACAAAGACATCCAAAATGAATGACTATGGGGAAGGGGCTAACTCTCAAATCTTGTCAATATTGTTTGCAAATGTTTTCTAAAGGCTTATAGAGGTGACAAGACATCTGGACATCAGATCTGGTTTTGACATGTGCTTCAATGGCAGCTGCTTCTGCAGTCAATAAATTAGATTCAAAGCACAGCAGTATGTCTTTCCATCCACTCCAATAGGGTTTGCTCAGTCACTCAGGCTGAGTGAAACCTGATGGGTACTCAACATGGCCTTTGGGCATCTTGGAAGTTCCTGAGCACCCGAGAACATAGGCAACTAAGTAGATGGCTAATTTGCAATTTTGGGAATCAGGCTGCTTAGTGACCAAAGTTCTAGGAGTTTTATCTGGAGAGTTTTGCCAGTAGTTCTCAATATTTTTAGTTCTCTCTCTGAGATATGCAGCTGTATATCTGTGTTTTTTAATAAGACTGGAGATAACACAGCTACTATACCAAGAAAAGTGCATGTCCTCTGCATGGAAGTGTCCACCTTGACAGAAATAATTAAATATTTCTATTGCTATTACCTTTCCTATCCACTCTGTCAGTGAAATGAAGTTCCATGGCAGAGGTACCACCCTGACCCATGTGTGTTATTTAGTGACACTCAGCAGTGTGCTGAGGTGGGATGCAGCCAGCTCTCAGCCTGTAGGAGCTGTAACCCCCTTGTACAAACCCAGTTTGGTTTTCAAACACCTGTGGTGGCTTCAGTTTCTGCTCTTATGGTCTTTTCTTATGGTTATTTACTCATACCGTTGTTCAATAAGTTTCCTTGAAACTATTGCCAATGATAGTGCCAAATTTCTTTCCCAATCATTTTTACTTTGGGTTTAGTATTGTATAGGGTCTATGAGATAGACATACAGCTTGTAAATAAGAATTTTAAAATATATTTTCTGGTCTGTGTTAACAATGTAAATATAAACAATAATAAACTAAACCAATTGAAATACAATAGTTCTAACATATTAACCATGACTTTTTTTTTTCATATTCTAAGGCATGTCAAATGCTTCCTAGAAGCAAGACAAATAATATAATCATAAAGCATGATGCAGAAACTATCCTGGGCCAAATGCATGTTCATTTTGTACCTTCATTATGTTTAAACTTTCAGGAAGGAATCTTTTTTCTTACACAAATTAATGTTCCCACTTATTTAATACCTTTTCTGCACTGCCCATTATAATTCGTCATCAGAAAGTGCCCACCATACAAAGATAATGTCCTGCTCAGATAATGTTGGCTAATTAGGAAAAAAAAAGCAAGATCAATGAAAAAAAGGGAAATTTGAAATTCTTTCTATGTCCCACTAGTTAAGATCTGTAGGCAGGAAGACCGCAAGTTTAAAAGAAACAAAGGGGAAAAAATGCAAAAATTATGACTATGCAATCTCTCTGTAGTGATATTTTGTACCTTCTTAAAAGTAGAATGAAAGTAGGTGTCTCCGTGTGTCTGCTCAGAGACAACAGAGAAACAAAAAAGATGATCTGTGTCCTTCATACTGTAGACTTTGTATGTGGAGGTGATGGCTGAAAATGTTAATAGTTTTGATATTGACAGGTTTTGAGAAACTGCAAGTAGGGACTTGAAGATCCAGGATACTCCTAATCTGTGTCCAATTGGAATTGCTGTATGGATTTTTCATACTACATACACAGCTGAAAGAAAAATGAGAATTGGGATGGTTACACTTTTTTTTTACTTGGCACTGAGCAGGCAACATGTTGCAATAATCATATCAATAATATAAGTTAAAAATTTTAGATCAATTTTTTTATCAATTAAGCTGAATTGTTAGGTTTGAAAACTATTAAGTGAAACCTTGGAATTATGAAATGACTGCCTATGCAGGTAAAAACCAAATCTTGTTCATATTTATACACAAAGAGGCAGGTAATGAAATAGGTCACTTATTTCATCTGCTTAGTGATAGCTCTATTGTTGTTTTATATCTACAGTAATCCCTTGAATCAAATAGAGCTTATGAACTATCTTCTCAAACAGCAGAAAACTGCAAGCTGGAATTACTTTTAGTGTGCCTTGAGGGTTTCAGTGCAGCAGCAAAATTGCACAAAGGATCGAGAAGAGCTGAGGACTGACATGCTGAACTTGTGCTTTATCCTGGGATGTGTAGACAGTATGGTACTGCTACACACCAAAGAGACAACCTCACCCTCACCTATTTCCCTTTCCTTTGAGTGTATCAGTAAGCCCTCACTCTTGTTTCAGGAAAGAAAAAGGTACAAATCCTCTTTGTGCTTCATTTTCATCCCTCTTTTTATACCGTGTAAAGATCAATTAAGATCTTTCTAGTGCACATTGTATTTTGTTTTAAAAGACTGTAAAATGCTTAGGAGAGTTCTTCAGCTCCCTTGATTTTAAGAGGCTGATGCATACTGTGGCAAAGTGCTTATATATTTGTAGGATTGAGAACTTTGCTTCTACGCTTTTTAGGCCTGCTCCTGTCTTGATTTGTACAGGGTTTTTTTAGCATAAGAAATAGAAACTGTTAGTGGAATGGCTCAGAAATTATTTTTTGATAAATGGATTAATTTTATCCAGCTTTGCTTTTTCATTGTTTTCTGAAGCAGCTCACTCGAAATCCCTATTTAAATTATCAGGTTTTATGAGTAGCATTCTCATACTCAGAAGCATTTTACCACGCAGAACCACTAGAATGCAATGTGTCTCTTTGTCCCATTTCAGTGATGTGATGCACTCACTACAAACACTTGTGAATGTGAGTCATGTAAATAAGAGCCTAGCTTGTTTTCTTCTAGCAATAAGGAGATAGAATGGCTGAATTTAGTCACATATGCAATTCCTCTGGCAATGTCTTCCATAAGTGTGTAGCTCCGAGAGTTCCTTTCTCAAGAAGAATTAAGTAAAAACTGGATCAAAATTAAATTTTCTTTGAGAAAATATACATTTTTGTATTACATACTTTCAAGACATGTTTAATTTAAAAGATAGTCCTGAGCAGCCTGGTCTTTGAGTTTAATGCATCTCAGAAAAGAAACTGAGCTTGGCTCTGCAGTTGAGTAGGAGATACTCAACTACTCCATCCAATTTCAAGTATTTTGTGATCTTGTGGATTTAAAGTGTGGTAACAATGCATTCTTCCTGTACTTCTGGTTTATAATTCTTCCATAGAAATGGTAGCTCCAATTCCTTTTTAATCTCCAGTAGCCTCTGCTTATTTGGTGTGTTATATTGCTGAGAAGATTGAAGATCTTGGCTAGCTGTTCCTCAAAACTAGTTTTGCATTAGAAGTTTTGAAGTTTTGACTTAAATCTGATTTGTGATGAAAAGTGGTGCTGAACACAGGCCTTTTCTATTGGCCATCACTTCCAGTTTTAAAATTAAATCTACCCAAAAGTATTCTTAGTGCACTGAAGACCCAGACTCCAAATCACATACTCCTCAAACAGCTGAGTTCAGTAAGAAAGGAAACACACATTTTGGTTGAGATTTTATATTACTTGTTTTTCAAGAGGTTGTGCCTATATATGTTAAAACCCTAAAAAGGAAAAGCTATAACAGAGCCAAGAATGGGCATCACAAATAGAAATGGTTCTTTATCTTACTGTTGCACCTGCCTCATGAAAGGTAGGCATTTTATATTTCCACTCATTATCAAGGTCCTCTGCTGCTTTCAAAGATGGAGGTGACAATAAGAAAAATTTGCATTGTATTTCAAGAATATGTTTACAAATGTGTCACCTCTCACATTTAAGAGTGAGTTTTATGGAAAGAGCAAAATATAACAATAAAACCTGCCAGACTGAAATCTTGCAGGCTGTTTTCTTTGATGATGGCAAATTCCCCTGGAATTCTGTTGTCAATTTACAGCCGTGAAAATGACAGCATTAGGTATCACCATGCACAGTCATACCTACGCTAGGAGAAAACAATGTGGGCATGATTTTAACAAATGCAATAGTCCTACACACCAGCTGCTTGCACACTCCTTTCTTGCCTCAGGAGCACATTTGGAGAGTGAGATAGATGCTTCTGGCTTGCTGAAATAAAGAGCACGTGTGAACCTCTTCTGCTGGGAGTCACTGTCAGCAGGGAAGTATAAGATAACTTGTCATTTTACTTACCTCTTTAAGTGATGTAGGGGTGCAGGTCTCAAATCTATGATTTATATACGTCATGTGGGCTGGCAGCAGTCACTGGAAGTGGTCCATATACTGAGAAATGGATTGCGCCCTGTCATTTTTGCTGCTTTTAGCTAGTTGAAAAAGAATCTTAATATAAAGGCTAAAATAAGTGCAAAGTTAAGAATTTGAAGAAAAAAATAAATTGAACACAGGGAACTAGTAAAGGTGTTCCTTAGCCAGATCACAGAACTGGGTTGCAACTAGTTTATTTAGCCCCTGTTGGTATCTCTTCCCACTGCAGTGGCGGGCACAGGGGCACAAGGATGCTCCCATGGATGACTGCTCTGAGAAGAGGTGTTCAGGAGAGATGGTTCAACAGCATGGGGTATTGCTTTATTCACTGTCCACACATTTTGGAAAAGACTGAAGACTTTTTGTGGCTGCCTTCAAATCCAGTTCAGAGGGTGAAACATCATGACTTATCTTTTAGAGCAATCAGCAGCATGTTAAAGCTCAGGAAGCAGTAAAAGCTGAGATAAAGGATGCAGGAGCATTCCCCTTGTTCCCTTGAGCTTCTCTTGAACAGCATCAAGCATTTGTGTGATATCAATATTAGCTTCAGACAGTTTTTAATATCATTTTGGGACAGAAACGAATAGAGGTTGAAAGAAGATTTAGTTTTATGTGCAGAAGAAGCCAAAAGAACAAATATCAATATATTAATAATTTGGAATTTTTTCTCTCTCATCTTTTCCTACTGTAAGGGATGGTTTTGAAATAATTCACATGAGTGGACTTCTCATATTCTCAATCTCTTTGTTGTGTCTTCCTTTGTTTTGCTAAGTGTCTCCTTAAGTGACTTGTTCATTGATTCAGAGTGCTTCTTTCCCTTCACCTGGTATATTAAGGCTTAATTTTTACTTCAGCTCTGGACATTATCAAGGTCTTGCTATCAGAAAATCTGAAAATGTGTTTCACTGAAAGGTGCTAGGACATGTGAGTGGCAGACAAGGAAAATTCCTTTTCACTCCCCTTTGAGAAAGAAAAAAAAAATCTGCCTGTAGTCAGATAGGGAAATGAAGAATTAGAAAATTTGCATAAGAGGATTAAATCACAATAATGAGGTTGTAAGAAAACAAAGTATTTTAAATATAGAGAAAACCCCAACACTATAGTAAATTAGGAACTCAGAATGAAAAATGCTATCTTGTTCTGATCCAGAATCACCTGCATGAGTGGCAGGGTTTTTGTTTACTTCAGTGAGTTTTGGAGCTAAATGACCCTAGTATCTAAATCATACATAAGTCACGGTAGATTTTTACTTCTCCATTCTGGGTAGGGAAAAGATCACGTATTGCTTTGGGTTAATAAGGCAGCAAAGATAACTTATTCCTCCTCTTAAAACCATTCATCTTGTGAAGTCTGCCTCTTAGAACTGTATATTTATCTCTGTTAAATATTCAGCTTCCTTTTTGTCCCTTGGATTTTCCACCCACTCATTTTCACCATCAGCAGTGGAAGTCTTCATTTCTCATGTCTAAGTGGCCTAAGAGGTGAGGGAGGTGATGATGGAGGCCTGCTCATGAAGACAGGGTATTTCTCAGATAGTGGTAATCTCATGTACTCTCATAGCTGTATCCAGCAGAGAAATATTTAGAAAGCTGATTATGTATTAAACATCTGAAATGGGACAGAGCGTTGACAAAATGTCCAAACTACTAAGGGCATGGGTATTGGTTAAATACTGACCTATTTGGTAATAATACTTAATATTCCTATATGTTTTAAATTCACTGTGTGCATTTGATCTAACTGATGCCTTCAAATATCCGTGCAATATATGGAAGTATTTTCTAAAATTTGAAGAACAAGAAATTCAGACATGGAGGTGTGGAGATCAAAATTTTAAGTGCAGATTTGGGTATTCACCTCCATAAGGTCTGTGTCAGTCTTATATATAAATTGATGCACATAGAATGAGCTACACTTGTTAGAAGATTTGGCCTAAATGACTTATCCAAGGTCGTGGAAATCAGCGACAGAGTTGAGAAAGACTCTGAAGAGTGCATCTTTAAATGTAAAAAGCAACTGAGGTATAAAACTATTTCAGTTTTAAAGTGCATTATGCCCTGTGAATTTTATAATTATAATAATGAATTTCTATCATGCTGTTCTTGAAAAATTCAGTCTGGTACATAAGACACAAAATGCTGCAGCTGCACTGGATCAACCCCATGGTGTACACAAATCAGTACATTCTGAGGCTGTGTCCAGGAGTTTATATTGATACTGTTGCAAACTACTTAGAGTGGACTTGTCACTGCACGTCAATTACCTATTGATTAATACACTTAGGTAAAAGCAAAAAGGTATTGCACTTTGTCAATTTTTGTACTTCTT